GGTAGGTAGTGTGACCACGGCCTCAGTGATCAGCACTGTAATTATTTTCCAAAAGGATAAAAATATCCCTTAAGAGCTAATTAACATTCCACTTGTAACCATTAGTGTGGTATGTATTTCATTTGCCAAGAGTCCACTGATGTCTGTGTCTTCAGCTTTCCTATGGAATCTTTCTCATGCTCCTCGTTCTCGTTACCAGTTCCCAAAACTCTTCCAGTCAGGTCACTGCAGAAACAAGGAAAGAAGCAGCAACTGGTTTTGTGCCACCAACAACAGTTTCCTATTGTGAACTTGAAGCTTCTAGGAACATCTTGAAGCTTTGAATTTGTCGTTTTATGCTATATTGTCTGCATTAAAACATTGCCTTTTTCAATGAGCAGTTAATTTATTACCCAGTAAAATTCAAATAATTTTTTTTCACTGTATCTTACTGCCTGGCTGTTGCCATGATAACGATTTCTATTGCTAGGTTTTTGGTTCTTTGCAGTTGCCAGTGTTTTTTTCTGTGTTTTAAGTAAAAATTTGCTGAGTTGGTGCACTCTCTCATTTCGAAATTGTTAATGTATTAAAAAATTAATAATGAACGTTTTGTCATGTTTGGCCATTTAGTCCTGCTTATTTTCATCTGAGTCAATCATGCTTGTCATGATTAAGACAGGACATCATTACATTATCTTCTTTGGAAACTATTCAAAAAAAGCTCTATTGATTTTTTTTTTTTTTTCTTCTTCTGTTCAGTGAAAGTGTTTAACACGACTTTGAATTTCTGCTGTAAAATAGGAGTAATTGTGCAGTGATAATAGTAAGGTGTTTTTCTTCACATTGGTTGAAGCAGAAATAACAATGTCCTTCCTTTTCCCTTTATAAAATAGAGCTGTAATATGTATCAGTGACTTCTCTATGCAATATTTGGAACTCTGGTTTTATCTGGTAATTTGTTTTGGATTGGTGGGGTTTTTTGTTACGGTATTTTCCTAACTTCAGGATCTTTTCTTCGTGAAATGATGTCATGTTCATAATAGCCTGAGTTAGCATTTGCTTTATGGTGTTGGTTTTGTTTTGTTTGGGTTTTTTTTTGGGGGGGGGGGTAGGGGGAAGGGAAATGTCCCCCACATAGCAGAGGGGGAAAAAATATTTCAGTTCCTTGGGTTTGGAATGATAAGTATTGAACACAGGGATTTGGTGGAGCATTTTCAAGATGATAATGGAATTATTTTTTCCTTTTGTGAACACATATGAATGTTTTGCTAGCTTTTTCCAAGTTGACAGATACACTAAGCCTTTTGCTTCATTATATTGCATTTAAAGGTGTCCTAAGAATCTCTGGCTGAATTTGTGACATCAGAATGTCCCCAAGTCATGAACTACCATGTCATGAGGGGGAGTTTGTGTAACAGTGGTATATTATTTCAGGTTGCTTTTCATCAAGCAGGTGGCAAACGTGAATGTTGTTTCTTTCTCATGTCACAGAAAGCAGTTTCTTTTCCTGCAGCCATTCCTGTAGTGGTTTCCTGCTCCGGTTGCCACACTGTGAAGCAGCTGTGGGGGATTATTTTGCCAAGTTCCTAAATTCTTCAGGTTTCCCTTTTATCTTCATGCAGCCTTGAACAAAGGGAAGGAAGTGTATGATGTTGTGTAGCAATCTTCCTTTTTATTTCAGAGTCTCTCTTGTTAATTTGTCAATACTGTCAATTCTCAAGGCTGACTCCATTGAATGCACTTCGAGCTCCATAGAGTGTGGAGGAAGAACAATACTTAAAAACCTCAGGGGGGGTTAACTTCCTTAGGATTCTTAGTGTCTGGGGATAATTTAAATCAGTTGCACAAGTGGTGCCATAGGTGGCCTTTGCAGTTAACAGTCCACTGAAATGAGATCTTTTGATTGTTCCTTCAAAGAAATCATACACAGATACGTGCAGTTGTGACCTCCCTCGTTGCATCCATTCATCCAACAAAGAGACAAATTCTTAGCTATGCAGAAGAATGCTGGTCACTTTCCAAAGATGTTTATGGGTGGGTCTGATGGGGAAGAAAGTTTCGTGACCAAACCCAACATTGGATAAGTCAGTTTGTGTGGTAAATCTGCTCTGGCTGCTGGGGAGAACGAGAGTCACGTAGTGACCGACCTGCTCATCCCCCAGAGACTGACTTGGTGTTCCTGCCTAGGAAGTAAAGTCTCTTTTTAGTTTCTGTTTCATTTTGTTAGAATGTGCTGGAAGAATTTTAAAAATTCGTTTGAAACAACCTGCACAAGTTTGCATAAAACCAAGTGTGTTCCTGGTAATGTTGCAAACAGATTAGAAGTCAGCTGGGAGGGTGAACTTCAGTGGTGTCATTGAATTGCTCTTACAGGAACAGATAACTTAGAGTTAACTGTGGCTTAAAGGGGAAGTTTTGGTGTCTTACTCCTTGCTTTGTGCCAGCCATGGTGCAGCTTGGCAGTACCTTCAGAGTGGGTTTCAAGGCCAGGGGAAAGTCTGCCTCGTTGAGAATTGCTCTGGGTTGTGTGAAAGGCTTGGACACAGGGTTTTGTACCCCCACTACATACAGTGCTTCAGATACTTGTGATACTTAGGCCTTTTAATGAGGATTTACTTACAAAGGAGTTGGGAAAGCACTGAGGGGTCCCTGTATGCTTAGCTGTTGAAGTGCCTGTGGTTTATAATTTCCTCGAACATCTGTACAGAGAAACTGTGTTATATTTGTTCATAAAGTCGAGTTCTTTTGAGCACCTGTAGCCATCTCATTCAGGAAATAAGCTTCCTCTCCAACAGTTTTTCTAAGTTACCTGTTGTTGTGGCAGTTTCCACATGCTCTGAACAGTGGCTGAGTTGTAGAAGATAAAATACTCATTTAAGAAAATGTCATTTAAGAAAATGTCATTTAAGAAAATGTTCTCTTCGGCAGCTGCAGCAGGTATTGCCTATCCCCAGGAAATGGGAAACCTGTCTGCAAATCAACCTGTGACAGTAACGTTAGGGGAACCATCGAGAGCTGTGTTATGATTTGTACAAATCAAGAGATGAGACCAAAAAGGGGAGAGGGGAAGTGTGGCACCAAAACAAGATTCTGCATTAAAACATTTGCAAATGGAAGCAGGTTCAGCTGCTGAGACTCGTGTTGAGAGTCAGTACAGACTGACTCAAAAATCACTATTTGTGATTTTTAAGAAACTTACTGAATACTTGTGTGCTTTCCTTCTGATTTCAGGGCTCATATTCCTAAAACTGAGAGTTGGCTGGCTCCAAGAGATATTCACAGTGATGGGAGTAAAATGAAAGAAGTGGTAGCTTAGATTAACAGTGAACAGACTCACAGTCCTTCCAGTGCAGTTTCCTAAGGCAAAACTTGCAGCAGGAAGGGAAAGTTCTGCAGCAATTCTTTGATGTAGAGGCAAATGCACAGCTCAATTTGATGTCTTCAGAATGTTGCCACATAGCTGCAGTTTGAAAGATGTAATTTAAATGGTTCTATGAAATCATTTTAATACCACACATACACCCACAGTTCTGTAGCAGCATAGCTTTGTTTCTATCCATCAGAACTTTGCCTCTGAAAACAGCCATAAAATAAGGCTGTGCTGGACTTGAAAGTAGTTGAAAGTGTTTGTGATGCATCTCAAGCTTGGGATATGAACTGAGACCCACTCAGATTAGATCAGTAATTTGGATTCTCCACAGGTGTGTTTTAACTATTTCTTAACATTTCCTCAGTCTATTTTTGGCATTTCTCATTTGGATGAATAATACAAGTGTACAGAAAGTAAATCATAAATATGGGCAAGGCTGTAATTTAGTATTCAGCTTGAGTTTTTTCCCCCTTTTGAATTTCCAGTTTCAATAAAATGACTTAACAAAGCTTGTCATTTCAGATTAAGCATTAAGGTCTGTGATTACTGTAGTATATTAAAATCAGGCAGTTCATAATTGTAACCAAATTGGAAGCATAGTCAAACCTTGAGTTGGTGCAAGTCATGGATTAACCAGCTGGAAACAGAACTCGTTGGAAGCATGTCAAGCTTTCAAGAACCGTGAAGTTGTCTGCTGATGCAAAGGATCTTTCCTCCCATTTAACTGTGTTGAACTGCTTCAGTTTGATATCTAGCATGTTCAAAATCAAGAAACTGGAGGTTCAAAAAGCTGGGAAACTGATTTTCTTTCTTTATTTGCTCATTCATTCCCCAAGTATAAGTAGGACCATGAGATAAGGATGTCAGGGGTTAAAGATCACGATCATTATGGGGACCAGAAGGTGTGGGTTCAGTTTGTTACAGGTGTGTGTTTGTAGCACAGAAGGTCCTTTGCTTGTGTGTGTTATGTAAAAACTTGTGGGGCAGCTTTTCTCAAAGTAAAATTCTTTTCTAATTTGATTAATGTTCCTAACTTGACCTTTACTTAGTCTGTAGTAACTGTGTACTAAGTAGAAGGCAATAAACTGTATTTTAGGCCATGGTAGAGGTGTGTGAAAAGAATCAGAGCTTGGGAAGAAACCATGTGAAGGTATAAAAATTGCCTGAGTGAGCATGTTGAGCTGTTGTGTTCTTCAGGTTAGCAAAAAGGAGTGAAATAACTGGTAGAATGAAAAATGAATTCTTGAGGGGGGGAAATCCAGCACAGAATGAAAATAAAACCAGAGACATTTCTTTCTTGCAGATTGCAGCGAATAAATAGAATAAATCGCTTTGCATTTCATTGATTTTGAAATTAAAAATCATCATGTAAGGTACAGATTTGTTTCGTTTTGGGAAAATCCACAAGGAAACCGGAGAAAACTTACATTGTTCATTTCTTGTCAATTTGCGTTAGAATCAGTGAACTTGCAAATCTGTTCTGTCCTAAGTATTACATTTAGCCTTTGAAAAGTAAAGCTGAGTACATTTTCGAGGGTGTTAGTAGACTTCTTGTCTTGCAGGCTAAGAAGAAACTTGTTATTTTGCAGAAAATGTGTTATTTGCTTCAGTTAAATACAGAATTTTGAAACTCTTGTGTTTCTTTTCCCAGGCTGTTCGCTGCTATGAATCGCTAATTTTGAAAGCTGAAGGAAAGGTCGAGTCTGATTTCTTTTGTCAGTTAGGTCACTTCAACCTCTTATTGGAAGATTATCCAAAAGGTAAGGTGTTTGAGTTCTTCTGCTAAATGACTTTGGGGAGTGGTTCTTTGGTGTAGGGGACACAACAGGGTGGAAAACGTTGGGATAACTCAATGCTTTCTTGGTTTGTACTGTATTTCAAAGCCCATAAAAGAATTAAGACTGGTAATGCCTTTACTGAAAGAGCTGTATTCTTACTTCTTCATATTTTTTTTAAATGCAAAATAAAAGCCAAATCAGAACACTGCTGGTTCAGGTATGGATATGAAGTTTTTCAGTTTGTACAGCCACAGCACAGGGCCTGCTTTGACTCTGTGGTTCTTTATCCCATGACTGCACAAGCAGTTGAAGCTCATGTGCCTCTGAGGGATTCCTGGGAGGGTGGGAGGCAGAGGTGCATAGGATGAGAGCCTGTCTTAGTGCTCTCATGTATATCCACAACCTCAACAGGTAAGGCTGGGCTGAGAGTGTTAATTTGGAAGCAAAAATCTGCACATCAAGCTGGTTTCAAGTTCTGGTTTAAATACTAATGGGAAGAATGTGTGTAGGGGTTTGGGGGTGGGTGGGGGTGGGGTATTTTTAGGTCTCTGCTTCATCAGTCTTTGAAATTACTTCAATGTTTTTGGCCATCATTGCAGCCAGTGGGCAAAGAACCTTCTGTACACTTGTGCTTTGTTCTTGGGGGTCAGCAGAGTGGTGGTTTGGTAGTGGTGTGGATTCCCAGAGAGACTCTGCTGTGTTGCTGACACAGATCCAGGGTCAGTTCTTGTCCTGTCTCCACTCCATGGCACACTGTGGAGCTGTGGACAGGAGCTAATTAGAACAGGTCAGAATATTATTTTTTTTTTTTGTAAGGAGTGTCTTTTTAAATTGTTGTTGATTTTTAGTTTTAATAGGATGCAGTTCTGTTTGATTTTGTGTAGG